TGTGAACGTGCTTTAGTGAACGTCGTACCATCAAGAACGTTATTTCGCCATTTGCGATTCAAGTCAAGCACATAACTCGTATTTGGACTGCCCAAGCTTGCTTTGAAGACCATCGTGCCATCAAGAACGCAAAGCCGCAAAGCCGAGACGCCCAGAGCCTGAACTGGCACGTAAGGCAGACTGGTAGGGCCGGTGGTCGGCCCGTCGGATTTACAGACTGAGTGGCCGAAGACTAGTAGGCCGAAAACCCCAAAAATCGCAAAAAACGGCCTCGAGTACAGCCTCAATTGTCGCCATCCCTGTGACCCGTGCAGGTTTTGTATATGTATATGGATCGAACCGAAAACCAATAGAATACCCAGAAAAACACTTAAAAACATACACAAAAAAGCCAGTACCCTTCAAGAACGGTTCGTCGGCTCTGCACTTGTGCGGGGCTGTGGCTCTTTGCCAACATCAGCGAAAAAGGAGTGGAACACAGACAGTTTGAATAGGATGCGGCACTTTTCATGGTACCCAAAGATACCCAAAGCACATCGAGATTCTTCGTCAAGCGCCATACTTTCACGATCGTCTTGTGACTTCATTACCGGGCAGCTCAGCAGCTTTGTTGACCTGATCCTTTCGCTTCGGTTCAAAATGTCGGCTGACGGGTACTCAGCGCGTAGCGGCGTGGCGGTTCTTGGCGCGGCTGGACCCCACCCACAAGCGCGACGGGCGGCGTGGCGCGGTGCGGCAGTTTTCATGAGTGCCAGCGGCTCTCAGAGGGCAAGGTGCCGTCGCTGTAGCAGCACGTACGCAGGTCGTACTGCACTCCAAGCCCGCCCCAGAGGCCAAACCGCCTGTCCTGTCACGCCAGCCGAACGAGAGGGAACACCGAGCCTGTAGGTAGCAAGAGGAGTTGTAGCACGTGGGATACGACTCGCAGAGGAGTGGAGGCCCTCGTTTCATATCAGGTAAAGTATTGTAGCCGGCGCTGCTCTGTTGCATCCAGGCCCCCACCACCGCTTGCTCTGCCGCAGGAGTCTTTATGCAATTTGTCCGTGGCGTGTCCACGAATTCATGAAATCAGGACATTCAGCCGTGGAGTCCTGCTGAGTATCGGGGCACAGAGTTGCGAGCCAGAGCCAAGTCTCGCCAGCATCTGCAGCTCCAAGTTGAGGCAGCATGGGCAATTCGCATGATTACATCTTACCTTTTGCTGGCGGTTAACAGGAAACGGCTGGAGATTACACCACCAAACTGGCCCAGTTCTTACACGTGTTTTGTTTCCAGCGATTGTTCATGTGGCATTCCTGCAGGCTGGGTTGCTCCGCGCCTTAGAAACTGACTTTGCTGAGCTGGCTGCCTACGACTGCCTGAAAGAACAGCAGACGTTCCCGCGTGCTATGTCCACTTCTTGCACTTATTGTGCCATGGAACATGCAGAAGAACTGCGAAGAAGGGCACTTGATAGCAACTCAAAGGCCCGCGGCTCTCCTGAAACGATTCTGGATGCAGCTTGCGATGGGCGGCCATCTTATTACTTGTAGCAAGTGTACCGCACCGTAATGTGCAGAGACTTAGAGCACAGCAGTCGCAAAAGCTTGTGACTGTGAAAATGCAGCCGATGCCCAAGGTGAGCGAGCACGTTTCGTGCAGGAATTCCCGCAGTTTCTGCCTTGGGCCAAGATCGCCGACCCACGTCGCTAGCTGTGCAGATTACGAATGTGAGCTGAAACATCCTGTGCCGTGCACGACATTGGTGTGTGCAGCCAGTTGAGCACCGGGCATATCGCTGCGCGCATGCTTCTTTGATTCCAAATGCCTTCATGTTCAAATTGCCACCTTGTCATACCTTGCCGTATTCTTGGTCGACCAGTCACAACCGGACGACGGGCTGATTTCAATTGAGGCGCTATTTACCCGACACCATGCGCGCTTGGAGCTTAGCTTCAGCTTTGTAAGCCGCCGAAAGGAATCGTGCATGTGCCAGGCCACCAGTCGCCTCCCTTGAGCGAGAGGGAGAAAAATCTGATCTTCCGGGTTGGGATTCCCAAGCGACCTTCATTGCACTGCCCTTACGAAGTCAGGCATAGAATTGGCCTCCCGCCGGAATTCCACCTCACACATCTGAACCGGTTCTGTTTGCATTGCATGGTACCAAGACTTGAGCAAGAGGCTTGCTACTTTTGCTGAAGAGATCTGAAGAGTTTCTAATTGTCGTGGGGCTGAGGGCCTGAGTTTTGCCGTGCGAACCCCCATGTCGATCGCTTTGGTGCAACGCAGCAGTGGCTCGCTCCGCCAATGAAGTGAGCGGTACTTGCATGACATGCCACGAACACACGGACCGCAAAGGAATGGACGCAATTCGGCCAAGCATGAAGTCTCATGCATGCGGAAAGAACTCAACAGCGTGTTTTTTTCTTCGAAGCTTTCGGTTTAAGTGCAGGTTTTGTGGGTTGAACCCATGCGTACCCACTTCTTCGGGCGACTGGCATGCTGGATGTCGGCAGACGGTTTAGCACGTTGGTCGTTGAGTTGGCGCTGGCAGATGTGTGGCTTGGTTCTTACCTGGTGGTCGATCTCCGCTGCAGTGACAGTTGTCATGAAGCAGACAGTGGGGAGGGATGGCAGCTACCAGTTCCCCTTTGCCTTGACGGCGATGACTAATGGAGTTTGTGGGTGGATGTCGGTATTGGCGTGCCGCAGCAAGCGCACGAAGACTGCACGGAGGAACAGCTTGCTCCGCTGGGTCGATATCGTGAAGTTAGTTGGTCTGGGCGTTATCCAGGGAATTGAGATTGGAATGTCCAACAAATCCCTGGAGTACTTGTCCGTGTCCACTCGAACCATACTAAGCTCGTTGAGCGTATTTTTCATGATGATGTCGGCACAGCTTTGGGGCTTGGAGCACCTGGACCGTCTTCGGATTTGCAGCGCATGCTGTCAGGTTCTCGGAGGGCTCTTGCATGCAATCGGTGCTTCACATGATAGTGGGGAGCATCCCGTTGGCACCCAGATCCGTGGAATGCTATTGCAACTGTTCACCCTCATGTTGGCCTCACAGCGCTGGGTGATGCTGCAGTTCCTCATGCAAAAATCTAAACTTCACCTTTGCAAACTTGAGTTAGCTGCTTTCATAATGCCAGTAACCTCCCTGGTGTGTTTCGTTTTGGCTGCTATCTTTGAGCGCGATGCTTTCGACTGGCCCCTGATGCAAGAAGCTGGTCTGCCTTGGACCGTTGCCTCTGTCGCCAGGGGCTTACGCCTGGCAAAGCTTCAGTTCTAGTCGTAGACCACTTCAAAAGGCATCATGCTTTTGTGAGGCATGCGGCATTGGCATCCTGACGGTCGCCGAGCTCCGGTTGGTTCACATTTCCTCCGCCGTTGCCTTGCAAGTTCTGGGGACATTGCATCAAATACCTCTGGTGATTACTGGCGTCGTTTGGTTCCAAGATCCAGCCCCTGAGCTCGATCTCCAGCGCTCGTTGTCATTAGTCTAGGCCACCGGAAACTACAGGCAACATGGGAGAGGTTACACACGCAAGCATGCATACAGACACAATACACACATGCATGCCTACAGGCGTGGAATCAACGTCACAGACTCTCATTGACTGTGCGCATGTGACACCAGGTTGATTTGGAGAGTGCATTGGGCTTCTTGTGCTGCATTTGCGGCGCCCTTTGCTATGCTCGAGCTAAGCATCTACCACTGGACAGAACGGATCTTAACGGCGACTTCGGCCCATGTCTTTTCTGAGCATGATGTTTTCACTTTTAAGTTGTATCGGAGTCAGGAAAGCCGTGCGATCACCTGAGGCAAGGACTCTCAAACTGCGGACCGAAGTCTTCAGCTGGATGAATAGTTCGTGCAGCTCCCACGGCTGGGCAACATAGCGATTGGTTGGGTATTGTTTCACTACCTAAATCGCACGCGGAACACAGTGCCAAAATGCTTAGCGCCGCGGCTAGCAAGTACTGTCGTCAAAGCAGCAGTCAGGTTTACATGACTTCCAATACCAAGCAGATTCCTGTGACTGCGACGAGTGTCACGGGCAGCAAAGTCTCCCTAAACAACCCGAGGCAGTTCCGAGTGAGACCAACAACTGCTTTGGATTGGAGGAAAGGCAGTGACCCTCGCACTTTCCCATCTATGTTGTACCAGTCTAAGCTTCGGAATAAACCAGCATCAGATGGGGCGGCGGCAACCCTCACCTCTCTTCCTTGTCTTGGCCTCTTGCATAGGACGACACACAATCGTCTTTGTCCTCTATGGCTTTCGCTACCATTGCAAAGAGCCTATCCATTCAGACGGTCTGAAGCTGCAGGCAAACGAAGATAACAGGTTGGTTAAGCGGTAAACCAAAGGTAAACAAAGCGTCTTTACAAGTGAGTCGCTGTACTGGCGTAGCAAATGCCAGAAGAACAAATTACTAATGCTATTATTTACTACGCTACCAAACAGCAAGACGGTGAAAGCAAGGCACACCGTTGTTCTACTGCAGTACCACTGCCCTACTTACATCTAATAACCACTGCCACTACCACCAGTACTCCCACTCCTACTCCTACTACTACTGCCACTACTACTGCCACCACCACTACTACGACGACGACGGGCGTGGAATCGTGCATTCTAGTACTGCGCAACTACAAAAGGCCAAAGCGGGTTTCATTCCGAATTCCCGTTTCGACACCACAGCGAACCTTTCTGTCTACTACTACTACTACTACTACTACTACTACTACTACTATTACTACTACTGGTACCAGTGCTAGTAGTAGTAGTAGTACCAGTACCACTACTACTACTACTACTACTACTACTACTACTACTACTTCTACTACTTCTACTACTACTACTACTACTACTACTACTACTACTACTAGTCGAGTTACTACTCGAGCCCCTACGCTTGCCAGTATTAGTACAAGTACTCGTACTATCATTATTACTACTGGAATTTCTGCTACTACCACTACTATTATTATTATTACCACTGCTATTGGTACTAGTATTAGTACTAGTACTTGTACTACGACGACTACTACTACTACTACTACTATTACTACTATTACTATTACTATTACTAGTACTACTACTGCTACTGCTACTACTACTACTACTACTGCTACTGCTACTGCCACTGCCACTGCTACTGCTACTGCTACTTCTACCTCTACTACTACCACTGCTACTGCTACTACTGCTCCTCTTCCTACTACTGGCACCCACATCCATGAACTACGATGGTGCACATTGGCACAGAGAGATTCTGGTCAGCGCCATTGTGTGCACACAAACAATCAGGGCTAAACTCTACAGCTACCAACGCGAAGAAAGAGATGATCGAGTTCCGCTTCCCCATTCTTCAGAAGTTATTCAGCAAGCACAGCTCCTCTGCTGCCTTTTGGATTGAGCACGCTTTAGGTGCACCATGCTCTCTAGACCGATAGATGGGGAACAACATGGAGTCGTTCTCCTGCGCGAAGAGCACGTCGCCGTGAAAGGAGATGAGACCACCTCTGCGATGTTTCAACAGTGATTTCTTGACGCAGCTGCAGCGAGGTGTTGCGAGCCTGCGCCGACTAGTTCTGTTCTGGTTAAAAGCACTCCTCGCGACGTGTGGTGCAACAGGAATTCTGATGTTAGCTATTGGCATTGTTCTGGGGTCATCTCTGCACAAGGCAGCTTATGCTATCGGCGGCGTGTTGGCTGTGGCTTATCTCTTAGTTTTTGTGCTGACGCTGGATGCATGCGAGGCCGTTTGCGCACTCTTTGACTTGCTCAACATTTCGGATTCAGATTCCCGGGACGACATCTTGAGGCAGCTGAATAGATGCCAGAAGAAGGGACAGTCGAGAGTTTTTCCGGAAGCTGACTCCGACAGCATCATACAGGAAATCCTCCAGGAGTTTCCCAGCAGGCTGAGGTCAAATTTGTTGAAAGCGTGGCATGTCGGACCGGCTCTGGCAGCTGCAGTGTCTTTATGCTGCCTCTTGTCAGTCATATTGCTGGAAGATATCCCTACAGAAGTCTGCTCATTACCTGCGGTCTCCACAAGCCTCCTGGCAGTCAGCTTTCTGCTTGGATGTAAAGTTCAGTTGAGAACAACCCCGCTGGTGAAGTCGCTTGTTTCGGATGAATTCGGCAGTCCACCCTGCAAGCTCCTGGAGCTTCACATCTTCCATCTGCGAAGACGGGTCGCTGCAACTCCGGAAGGCCTTTTCCTCGCAGTGATCTAGGGCCGTGCAATAACGTTCAATAGCTAGTCAGGACTCAACGGTACATGAAACGACCAACGATCCTGCAACTGCCGAAACTACTCCTCCGTTCGTTACAGGTCGTGCATCTGCGAGGCACAAGTTGGCCGTTGCCGTGAAAATGCCACGAAGCAGCATGTTGCCGGCAGTTGAGACGGGCTGGCTAGCTGGTCTGCCAGATGATGAGCTTGAAGTGTTTATGAAAGACTATCTCCAAGCCGTGGCTCTACTTTTCGATGTGGATCAACTGGACCTGGCCATCCGCCAAATAAGCACCTTGCTACCCACTTCGAGCCTAGCAGAGGCAGTTCAAGCACGTGACAGAATGCACCAACTGACGCAGAAGATAAACCACGGCTTGGCATCCCTCGACATTCTTGCCCTACGCCAAGCAATTGAGGAATGCGAGAAAGAAGGTTGGCCAAGCGAGGCTTTGCAAGCGGCCATGGCCACTAAAGAGATCATTGAAGGTTTATTGGCCAGGCTGTCCAAGGCGACTTCTGGCAAAGACCTGCACTACTTGTGCTCTTTGATTCGCGAATGCGAAAATTTCGGAATACCTGGTCGAGATTTGTCCGAAGCGCGAGCCAGGCGAGATGCATGGGAGAGCTTCTTGGTGTCCCTAAAGACCGCAATTGCAGAGAAAGATTTGGGCAAGCTCAATGATGTCATCCATGCCGGACAGGCCGACAACTTCGGCAGGGAGATAATAAGCAATCTAAGTTCTCGTACATGGTGGCGGGTTTCATGCGATGTCCCGTGCAGGAACTGAAGATAGAGCCTCCACAGCTGGCAGAAGCTTTTGCTACACGGGAGTACATCAACGGTTTGCTTAAGGACTGACTGACCTGGCCTGCCCAATCGCCCAAGACTCGACACTGTGACTCGTACTCTAAGCTGCTTGTGCCGCAGGACCTTGAGATGGCTATGGACTGCAGCGATGTTGAACAGATCCGAATGGCCGTAAAGAAGTGCAGCACAGTCAGCATCCCTTCAAGCTATCTTCACCAGGGTACATGTCGATTGCAAGAGTTGGAGGCATTGTTGACCAAACTGCAGGAAGCAGTTCGAACCAAAGACCTCTCGAACATGGACATGTGTCTCCGGGAATGCCAGCAGACAGGGATACCATCAGCATACCTCGAGGATGCAATCACGCAGCATGCAACGATACAGTTGCTGGTGGACCATTTAGCGGCTGCGTCATGCGCCAGAGATGTCAACACACTGGAGACAGCCCTCCAAGAATGCATGAAGCAGAGCATACCGGACAAGTATCTTGAAGAGGCCGGGATGATCTTCGGGTTTCGGGCGGTTAGTAACCTGAGTGGTTCGTGCACCTTCGTTCTAGTTGTCAACGATGGGTGCGAGGGCACTGGGGGAATGCTGATGGAAGGGTGTCCGCAAGAACTTTCGTGCCTGATAGAACCTCGGCAAGGCCCTGCACGTGAAGCGAACAATCGTGGCTCTTCAAGGCGATATCAGGGCGGCGATCGACTCTAAAGACTACGACTTCGTCAACAAGTCAATCCGGGACTGCCTTGCATTCGGTTTGCATTGCGACGAGCTGACACAAGCCCAGAAGTGCAAGAGCAAAATGGATGACATGATAAAGTCTTTGCGGCAGAGAAGCTATGTCGGCAAGTTGTAGATGTTTTGAACGGTCTACTTGTACCATGTTGTATCAAGCTTGTGGCTATACCAAGGGTCTCCCGTGATGCCAAGGTGTTGATGCTCGAGATTTGGCTGGTATTGATATTGCCCTGCGGCATTCCGAAGACTTTGGATTGAAAGCAGATGAAGTAGAAGAAGCTAGGCAGATGAAGGCAAGGATCGAGAAGCTATTTGTGCAGGTGAAGGCGGCCACAGATGCAAGGGATCCCACAGCATTGGAGGTCGCTATCAATCTTTGTCGAGATGCCGACTTGCCTCCGACGGACGTCGTTACAGATGCTGTCTCACTGAAGTGCAAGCTGGACGATGTGCTTGCTGGTCTACATTTTGCCATGAAGCAGCGAAATGCTGATGGCACTCGGGCTGCAATTCGAAGCTGTGAGGCCATGGGTGTACCTGACATGTACACGGAAGATGCTCGGCGAATGCTGGATGAACTCGAACGCCTTTTTGCACACCTACAGCAGGGCATGTCGAACAGGAAAATCGAGACGCTTCGGCAGGCCATCAGTGCTTGCCGGGAATATGGTATCCCAGACACAGAGATGGAGGAGGCCATAAGCACGAAGGCAAGCATCGAAGAGATCCTGTCGTCATTGTCTCGTGCTACTGAGAGCCGAGACATAGAGTCTCTGAAAAGTGCCCTGCTTAAGCACAATGAAGCTGGCCTGCCACCGAGCCCGGACTTGGACGAGGCCATGGCCATGAAGCGGCGAATTGAGCAGATTTTGGCAAAGCTTGGGGTGGCCGTCCAGCTCTTGGACATCCGAGTTCTAAAAGCTGCGATCGAAGAGTGCCAATCAAATGGTCTTCCAGATCAGGACTTGAACGAGGCCCTCCTTGCTAAGGAGAGCATCGAGCGCATGCTTCACCAGCTGCAATTTCTGTATCTGCAGTCTCGAAACACCTGATCAGAGGGGGGCCTCCCTGAGCCCTGGCAAGACTGAGGCTAGCAACGGTGCGATTCTCCATCGATTGCAAGAACATGTCCGGCATAGAGGCTGCAATCAAGGCCCGCAGACGGTTTGCATGTTGCCAGCACATTTCAAAAGGTAGGTCTCGCGGGGGTCTGTGTCGGAGAGTCACCGAAAGCCGCATCATTACACACCTGCCAGAAAAGGACTGTCCCATCGACCTGCTGCGTGCAGCCCTTGAAGAGTGTCATGCGGCTGAAGTTCCTGGATACGTCTTGCAGTCGGCGTTGCGGTCGAGGGCTGCAGAGTCGAGTGAGTCAGATCGCCGCCTGATATACGATTTGGGGCAAGATGATGAAAAGCGACTGGCCCACAACAAAGCAGTGAACATGCTACATGAGTCGATTCGATCTGGGAACGATGTGCCTGCCGAGTTCGAGGAGTTGATAAACGAATTAATTGTAAATCATGTTATGTAGTTGCAGCCAGGGCCAGCTCCAAAGAATGCTCAGCTGGCCACATGTCTCACTAGTCTAACGGCCATCATCAAGCATGATTTGTGCCGGGACAAGCCCATGGACACCCCCGACCAAAAAAAAGTGCGAAGAAACATCAGGCCGTTGCCAATGAACGTGTTACATCTACTGTCGGTTACGCAGAATCAAGTAAGTCAGTCCTGCGAGAATCTTCAGTGCCTTCCTTGCCTGGGCTTTCATCCTCCTTACAGTGGCTCTCTTGCCTGAATAAAGAACGGTGCCTTACTCTGTCGGTGGCAATTTGCGCATTGCCTGTATTGTTGAATTATCGCGAGGGGGTTCAGACACGGCCGGGTGACTGACGACAACAGAAGTTTTCAATGCCTTTTGGCTGCTTTGCACCCGGAACTTTCTGTAGCTCTCATCTTTTGCCTGCGTGCCGGCACAGTGCCTCAGTCGCTGATTATTTACGACAGGGTTCCCTGCGGTGGGTAATTCATCCGGACGTGTATGAGTGTATGACTGTGTGGCCTGGTGCCACGTGCATGGTTGCGTAGCGGCTGCGTAACGGAGCCTCACACAGTTTTTGCAGCTAGCAACGATCAGATCACACTACGACGGCGAGCGGGATTCTCTCGGGTCGCGACGATGCACTGGGAAGCTTTGCCCCCTTGGAAACACTTTGACTGTCGGGTGGACAGGCGAATCGGTGCCTTCTCAAGGTCGCCATCCTCCTGGGCCAGGTTTGCCCCCCAGCTTGTGGTGTGCCAGGTCCAGTCAAGGCACCTTGCAAGGTCCTGGTCTGGCACTGCGTCACGGAGTGCACCAGAGTGCACCGGCAATCGGCATGTCCACATGGGCCTCTTTGGTTTGGAGGGACTCTTGAAGCTGAGATCTCCCTTCACGGAGTCCTCAAAGTCCACTGCGGCTCTGTGGCCGGTGTCCAGACGCGCTCAGCGGCTCGTTGGGTCCGGTCCACCCCTCGCTTGGCACCCGTCTTTCTATCCAATTCTCTACCTACCGATGTCTCTGCTTCGCTCTCCCCTTCGTCTTCCATCCGTGCTTTCGTTTGAGGTTTCCAACATGAAGTGTCTGTTCTGCTGAACGAGCACAGCTGCCAGCTACCACCTGAGAAAACTCGCCATTAGGCAAGCCATGCAAGCCATGAGAAGTGTGGCTACTGAAAATCTCCTTTTTGATCGGCTGGGCCGCAGCCGGCAGCATCTAGCTCTGCGCTGCTGCCCTCGTTCGGAGCAGATGTTTAACGTTATTGGCCAGTGCGGCTTTGTCGTGCTTGTTCCTGAATGCTACATGTCGCTTAGAGCGTGTGCCTGGCTGGGGTGAGAATCTGTGTGAATCCACGGATCCGTTGGGGTAGCTTGAACTGTATTTCGCTTTCTGGGGCAGAAACCCTCGGGCCATTGCAGGGACGGAACCGAGGTTAGCAAGAAGATTAAGGGAAGAGAAACTTCACGTGTCGATGACGGCAATTCACACAAGTGGCGCGTCCATGGCTTGCTCGGCCATGACTGCAGCTGCGGCATCTGAGGCATCCGGTAGTCACATTCGGCGGTTAGCCATGGGGGCTGCAAATGACAAGCTGGCTTCTGCCGATGACCGCTTTTGGCACGCTTCAGCCAAAGATGCTCCGGAGATGTGGAGCCACGTTCCTGCCACCTACATTGAAAGAGTTGTACCAGAGCAGGAGTCTTTAGTGGATTTGCAGCTGCCACCATGCAAAGTGATATCTCATATGGCGCAGATGGCTGCAGACCCGGAGCACAGGCCTGGTGTGCTCCGCGCAGAAGCAAGACTTGCCGACAGCGCTGGGTCGTTCAATGTCGGAGGCACTTCAAATGCGAAGGACCTTACCCCAGTGCAGACGAGCAGGCCAATTGTTGACACTCCGCAGGTTCATTCACAAGGATTCGAACCGCAGAGTGCCCTCACGCAGAAGTCCGAACAGCCTTCCCACTGGACTTGCGCAAAGTGCGGGGAGCCGAACAAGGCCGTGCGAGAGCAATGCAATAACTGCAATGCTCCAAGACCAACAGGACCCAGTGCCACCGAAATCGACACGACAACAGCCGAGCCTGGTCGAAAAAAATGTTTGTTGATAGGCATCAACTACTATGGCTCGCAGAACGAGCTCCATGGTTGTGTTGATGACGTGCATCGCATGCTGCCGGTGTTGGAGCAGTTGGGATTTCCGCATGCGGAGGATGACAGCAGCTGTCGCATTCTCCTGGATTCTCCGGAGTGGCGAATGGACCGCAGACCTACGCTAGCAAATATCAGGGCCGGAATTTCTTGGCTGGTTGCCGGGGCCCAAGCCGGAGATACATTTTTCTTGCATTACTCCGGTCATGGTGGACGCATGCCACGAGAGGATGGGAGAGGTGATTGGCATGAAACACTGTGCCCTGTGGACATGGATGAAGCAGGAATGCTCCTGGACAGCGAGCTTTTTGCTAGCCTCGTCCAACCGTTGCCAAGCGGATGCCGTTTGACCTGCATACTCGATGCTTGCCACAGTGCGGGAGCTCTTGACTTGCCATACATCTTCATGGGCACGCCCGAGAACATCAAGAAGGCTTTGGCTGGGGAGGCCGCGATGCTAAGGATATGCCATCTGCGTAGTGAGCAGCGAGTTGTCTTGTGCAATTCTGTCGGATAATTAGTTGCGGGTGCAGCACCGGTTTGACTCTTGCGCCACTGTGGTACTGAAGAGCTGCAAATTTCTGTCTCAGGCCGTGCAGATGGCAATGTCCAAGAGTTGGCTCAGAGATTTTGAGCGCTGGGAAGTCGCGGAGGATCCAACCGCACTCCTTGCTGATGTGGCTTCTATGGGTATGGGTCTGTGGGACATGTGGCGACGATACAAAGGGGCAACCTCTTCCAATCAGAACGGTTTCTGTGCAGATGAGCCGAACAACATTGGGCGGGCAGTTGGTGAAGTCATCGCCATTACAGGATGTGCATCAGACCAAACGAGTGCAGACGTTGGAGATGTTCACTCCGAGTTTGATTTGAAGCCATCTCAAGGCGGTGGTCACCTCAGGGTCAGTCGGACCTCCGCTGGCGGCGCCCTTACTTCTGCCTTCATTGAGGCAATGGATGCCTCACAAGGTAGAGTCACATACCTGAACTTGCTAGAGCACCTGCGCGGTCGTCTTGCGGATGCCGGCTACAGTCAGGCCAGCGCTTCCATTCTCTCATGGTTCTGCAGAGTCCTCCCCTGTCCTACTTTAGTTGAAGATAGTACCACTCATGCATGTCTAAAGATTCTGGAACAACTCTTGTGAACAACTTGTCTGTGCCAGGTGCCGCAGCTTGCGTCATCTTTGCTGCTTGATTTGAAGCAGTGCTTCTCACTTGCCACATCAGCACAGCAAGGCAAGCGAATCTTTAACGCATGCGCAAGCAACGCTGTAGTTGCGTTGTGCATAGAGCTCCATGCAGGCTCAACGTCTACCGAAGACGCCCCAACCTGGCAAGGCTCTCTGTATAGATACAGCAACAGTTGAGTTGTAGCGCTCCTCAGAGGTTGACTCTGGGTAATGGCAAACTTCCATGCAGGTTGGTGTTGGTACAACCTGCCGTTACTGCTTTGTTTGGGATACTTTCGGACAGGTTTGGCAGGTCAACACTTCCACCATCACGCAACGACACACAACGACATAACTGAATGACTTTTTCTCTGGAAGAAGCGCCGTTCTTGGCTAAGCAAATCGTGAACGCGTGCAGAGGCTGGGCTCAGGCCCTATGCACGCACTCACACCGACTCACACCTGCACTGGTGCACATACACACAAAGCTCCTATCCAACTAGCATCTTATCTTACACTCGTACTTTGTCGTACATTTACAATTACGTAAAACGTGATATCTCTTATAGTATGACCTAGCATACATGCGGTTGAGTAAAATGTTACCGAAGTAAAAATATCTCGAAAGGTGGCATTGTATACGATACTAGAACAGCAAGTAGATGACGTTCAAGACATATTGGGCAAATTATTTGCTGTATCATGTTTTGTTTTTTCATACCGCTTTAGTTTGTCCTTCGTGCTGTGATCCAATACGGAAGGTTCATCACCATTTTGCGTTACACAGGCCTGTACGTATGTGTGTTTATTTATATATATATATATATGTGCCCGACACCTTTAGGGTCTATTTAGCTAGCTTTTGATATGCGAAATCCAAAAAGTTTTGGACGGACTGTAATACATTGTTTAACATCGAATTTTCATATCGTTCAAAAGCTTGGCCTGGCGAACGGCATCCATACTGGAGGAATCAGATGCCTTTATGTGACAATCCGTTTGTTGCCATCATGTAACCGGAAATTGAAATGGATTGTTAGCAACAACAAGCATTTATCAAATCAAAAGCACGCGGGCAGGTACAGTTTCTGATCTAACAGATGGATAATGATCAGGATGGTCATACATGGCACACTTGGATGCTTTGTGTTGATCTTTTTCGTTCCTTTGGTGTGATTTCCAATCTTCTAACTTTAACATCAACTCCAAACCCCACGCACGTTTACAAGCACTGTGACCAACGACAGCAGCCAATGACAACAGTAGCAACACCATAAACAATCACAACCACGATCAGGGATAGGATCAAAAGTTCGATAACATATCGCTGGCAAAAGTTGGTTCACTTCTCTCTGTTGCCATTTCCCATAGGTAAGAGAAAGAACAAAGCAGACAATAGGACTAGATGTTCGCTAACATCTCGCCAGCAAAGTTTAGTCCTGTTCCCTCACTTGTCAATTCCTTTCATTTCCAGAAAACAGGATAACGAACCGAAACTAATATGAAAACAAACAGTGCCTGAAGGGTGTTGTGCCATCTTATAGGCCATACCATATCATTGAATGGGTGTTATAAGTTTACAGGTATTGTTCCCAGTCAATGCAGGTACGTGTGTTCACTTCTCCTTGCCTTTCGGTTCTTGCCCACGAGCAAAGGAGAGGTGTTCCCTTCCAA